TTATTCATTAGCCTTGACTATAGAGAACATAATTGGTACACACTGCAAGGTCGAAAGAACATTTGTTAACAATATGTTTGGCTTAGCTTACAAAAGTTACAGGTAATTAGCTTTTCTGTGAGAGAGAAATAAGCAAGTTATTTATTTTCACTAGGTTAGAGATACTCTTAACTAATGTAACTTTGTTTTACTAAAATAAGGAAAAGGTGAGGACAATATATGTAACTTTTCTATTGTTTAGCCCCTGTTTGGTGGCCTTGAAATGTAAAAAAACATAGTTTTGAATAGTATATTTTGGAGAATATATTGTTAAAAAGTTAGGAAAAATTTTGGGTTTACGTGTAGAATATTTTATTGTGTGAATGCATGGTTAAAAATGAATACTAGAAATAACTTAAAGTGAAGTAAAGGGAATCAAGCAGGGGCTTAAGCTTAGCATAAGAAGTTCTATGATATGGAGCTCTCATTAGTCATCCCCATTTGGTTTGCCATCTAAATAGTTTTGGTTTCTTGGTGAAAGTATGTTGATTGAGTACTTTCTAATTCCAATACTGATATTAATACTTAGTGTGTGTTTGAGTCACATTATTTCTAAAAAATGTATTTTGGAATAGTAGATTGATAGAGAATGTGTGGTTAAAAAATAAGAAAAAGTTTTGAATTTGTGTGTAATATTATTTTATTGAAAAATGTGTTGTTGAATTATGTCAAATCGCTGTTCAAGAATGTATTTTTTCCAAGTAATGCAGCTCAAACAGAGCCTTAATATATAAGTTCATAGTTTCGTTTATTGATTGTGCAAGAGAGAGGGTATGCAATCTGCATTACATGTTGTTATGAACATTTAATATTCTTCCCCGAGTGAAGCACCTAGTGTAAAAGTCTTGTTGGGATGACCCTGGATCAGAAAAGTCTCCCGTTCATAAAAATAATGCAATCTCTATGGAGCATGTTAAAAAATAAAAGGGTGGGTTAAAGCAAATTGTATCCAAGTGTGGTGCTATGATCAAGAACAAAACACTGGGGCTATTCCAGTTACTAAGGATCTAATTGTTTTATTTCTATTGGTACAAGTAGCAAAGAGTGTAGCAAAAATGATTCATGTATCGAGAATAAACATACTTTGTAGATGGTTATTTTTTTACCTTAGACCTCTTGAAAAACTTGCAAATTATACGGAATCTAGTGCATTAAGTGAGAGAGGCTACTTCTTCACCATTCTACAAATTATTATGGAGGCTCATAGCTTCAGATGCTTCACTAATCTTTATCCTATCTATTAATGTAATGATGATTCCTTTGCATGCAGGAATACCTTCAAGGCAACCCCCTTTGGCTGCAGTATGTTAAGACTCCATTGATGACTTTAGGCTACGAGAGTAGCTATGATGTTTTTGTCAAGGCACACGGTGGTGGTCTTTCAGGGCAGGCTCAAGCAATTTCCCTTGGCATTGCTCGAGCTTTGCTAAAGGTGAGTGAGAGCCATAGATCACCGCTAAGGGAGGAAGGTCTCTTGACCAGGGACTCGAGAGTAGTCGAGAGGAAGAAGGTTGGGCTTAAGAAAGCTAGAAAGCGCCCTCAATTCTCGAAACGTTGAGGTTAGAATTTTAATTGGAGCTGCCATTACATTTACTCTTGTCATCTTAAGAGTTTTGTATCATGTTTCCGCTAAGCTTAAAACCTTTACTTTTAAGTAAATAAATTGAGATTAGAGTTTTGATTGGAGATGCCATGAAGTTTCTTCTTGCTGGTTTATGAATTTACCCGTAAGCCGGATGTTAACAATGGGAAATATTCCTTTGATTTCCACTGTCAGCTTTGCGATGCGAAATCATCATCAGAACTGTTACTGATGTTCCTATGGTGTAGAATTGGTGAAGTCATAAACGAGCAGGTCCATTTCTTCAAAATTTCATGTATGATCTGCATAAAATTGAGTATTGCTAAATATTTCTTTTCTTATCATTGTATGAACGTGAAGACAGTCAAATTTAAATTTTGCTTGACGCACTTGACCTATTTTTCTCATCTCTCTAACCAAGTCTAGTGTTTAATTTCTCTTTTAATTTACTGTCATTTTTGGGCTGAAGTAATTATAATGCATGTGCATATTGCAGCGATAAAATGCTTTAAAATCACAGCTGAAACGGTTGCAATTTTACTTGTTTTCCTTATTGCGTGTCACAGCCTTTCCTCGGCATTCTTGGGTACTACTCAGGAGCTCTCATGGGTTTGCTGCAGTGGGACTATGGGGGAAAACAAGTTCAATTTTAAGAAGTTAATTTTTGATTTTACGGTTAGGCATGTTTTCACGAGATTCACTCGACCGTTCAACAGATATTCAAATGTTTTGTATTTTGTTGAGTGATCATGTAACTTTAATTGAGTACAAACTTGTCGATAAAGATTGAGGGATCAACTTGCTTTCAAGCAATAAGTTTGAGGTCCTATTTGCAATTCTCCCATAATCATTTATTAGTAACTTCTTTTCAAACAAATTGATGTATTAAACCAACAGTTAAATTTAAGTAGATAATTATATTAATAATATATGTGGAAAGTGTTTATAAATGGTTTAAATTATAAACAGATATTGAGGTGAATAAGATCTGAGTGTTTTAAACAATTTATATACATCAAATATCTATAATCGTATACGAGTTTTCATAATTACTCAAAACCATTTATTATACAATTAGTACTTTTTGAAATTATACGAGTTTACATAATAATTCAAATCGAATTTAAGCTGTTGATTACGTATTGCATTCAATTCTATTTATAACTTAATAATAATAATAATAACTATTTATGAGCTGATAATATAAATTATCTTTCTAATATTTAGCAGAAATAAAATATATCATTAAATACATATTTCAATACTTTCTTAATTCGTAGTAGATATATCCCTAAATAGTATCCTTTCAATTGTGGCTTGGCATGCGGCGTCTCAAAAGGATTTGGGGGGGGGGGGGGGGGGGGGCAAAGGGGGGGGAGGGGGGGGGGGGGGGGGGGGGGGGGGGACAAGTAAAGTGCGATAATGAATACGAACAAAAATGATATGATTTAATTATTCAAATAAATGAATATGATGGACTATGATATTCACTATTTAGGCCTTGAAAACTTGTTAGTGAAAATTACTCCACAATAGGTATTTAAAGATAACCATTCTAAAATCGGGTATAAAGTTTATTGGAGCATAAATCTGGTTGTCATTCAAAATTACTATAAGGAAAAGTCTTGGAGTACATAATTTATATATATAAGGATATTCACACTTCTCATATGGGGTGGGACTTGGGACCCAATTCGGGTGGGTCTCACCTCATTTGAGGGGTGTGGACGCCCTTATGTATATAAATTATATACACTAAAAACAACCTTTAATATTATTTAACTCATCTCTCAATTTCACTCTCTCTATCCTCGATCCAACTGCATCTCTCAAATCGCATACTATCTGACGCCGCAAGTGGAGGCAATGCTGACAACAATGTTGTGTTGCTGCTGTTCGATGCTCAGACCACTATTGTGAGCGAAGCTGCTGTGAGCTCTCTAGCAGGGATGGGATGGTCTAAGAACGTATATTCTCTAGCCACACTCCATTTTCCACCATTCAGCTTTGGACAACTTAAGGTTTTTCGATGTGTGGGGAGCTAAGAAATCTGTCCATTTGATGCTCCAATAACGCAAGATGTTGAAGGGGATGAAGGCTTTGAACTAAGAGTAGTCTCCGATTTTCTATCTTTTCTGAAAATTGGTTCGAGAAAGTCTATAGAGGTTTGTGATTGTTGATGGTTCTATATTAGTTGACGCTACATTAGTGGTACTGTGGTGCAGTGATTGATGGTTCGGTGGTGGTACTATGGTGTAGTGGTGATGTGTTGGTGGTGATCATGTGTTGCTTTTGCAATTACAGTGGTGGTGTCGACGGAGGGTTTGGGAATTATTTTTTTTGTTAGGGTGGTGGTTGTGCTTATGGTTACCGACATGTTTGCAGATCATAAGTCATAGTTCACACTACTAAACCATAGGTTACAAATAAATGTAAACTGGTCATAAATGAAACAGAATTGGTCATAGGTCTCACTCCAATGATATGTCATATTGTATAGGTAATAGATCAAATAGGATTAGTTACATATCACTGATTTATATTCACATGTCACACGTTATAATTCACAGGTCACAGGTTACAGTTCAAGTCACAGATCATCATTCATAGGTCAAATGTCATATTGTATATGTTACATATTAAAATTAGCGAGTCACGGGTCATTTTGCATAGGTAATAGATCAATTTCTACAAGTCATAGATATAAGAAAAATAGTCATAGATCATTGGATCCATATCACAGATAACTTAGTAACGTCCATAGGGTTACAAGTCACGTGTAATAGGTGATATGTCAAATGTATAGGTCATAGGTCACAAATTCAAGAGATTTACTCACATGCCATTGGTTTCTCCGACCTCAGTTCTCCCAATTGGTCATAATTTCAATTAACCAAATTTCGAAAGTGAGCACTGAAGTTAATTGCTATGATGAGTACTCTTTATATTTCATCAAGGGCTATTTTTCAATTCAATTTTAAAAAATAGTTTTTAAATTGTATAAAGCATTGTTGAGTCACTGTTGAAGAAGATCATCAGTTGTCGACGATGCTTAGTCTATGTTTTTCAACGATCGTTATATTTCTCCATCTATCTCTACTATTTGAGCCGACTATGCTCATTAACTGCTAAGTAGCGGCATCAATTCACTAGTGAAGAAATTGTCGATAGTGTGGATGTCGATGATTGTAAGAGAGGATGGCAACGAACGATGCATGAGGATTGGAGGTGGGGTGGTTAGATTAGTCTAATTTGATAATATTATTATTGAAAATTAAAATAGAATCAACGCCAAACTTTTGCAATTTTAAACTTAATGTCTAGAATTTGATTTGGTGCGATTTTTTTTCCAACTTGTTATTTCTTGGGCCTTGTAAAATTGTTACTTGTTAGGTTGGATCAAGATAAATAAATTGTAATAAAATAAAAAGAGGGTAATTATATTCACACCACAATTTAATTGCACTTAAGATTCGTAATCTCTGTCCATTATAGCACATATGTCCCTAATGATTTTTCTTGTCATTCTTATCCTTAAACTATTTATAGCAACTCTATGTCAAAAAGTTTATTGAAATAGCGTAAAGCAACTTATTTTCTCATCATATTTTCAAAAACAAATAAGTAAAAGTACGAAAAAAATATTTTTCCTTATTTCAAAACATGAAAACAAAATATTTTACTATAAATCATCATTAAAGAGAGAAATACTGATTGATGGAAGGTTGAAGTAAGAATTAAATGAAAAAAGTTAAAAAATAATTGGTACAATGAACAATGATGAAGGAGTTTAATGGCAATTAAAATATGATATATCTATAATATATTAAAATATCATATTAATTGAGAATCATTTTTGGACGCTTTTAACACCCTACAATTCAATTATTTAAATAATACTTTACTTTTCGTTTTTCGAAATGTAATAAATACTAAAAAATTATTATCATTTATGAAATTTGTGTTATTAATTCTCGCTCAGCTAATATTCACATTAATATAGATTTAATGAATTTTCACTTGATGAATCTTAAATTACATGAATCTAGAGTTATTATAGATGAATTTACTTATATTAATGTATCTAGAAATTTTAATGGATTTTTAAATTTATATATTAACCATTAATTTTTATATATCTAATGTAATGTAAAAAAATTGATAAAAATTGTTCATTTATAGTATTTCATCATTACAAAAAATTTGAATCATAGAAATTGAGTTTTGAAAGTACAATTTGAATACAATTTTCTTCTTTTAAATTTGTACGTTAAATTTTATTATCTTTAATTCGCTAGAGACTCGTAAAATCCTCTAACAAATTGATATCAAATATTACTTTTGCATCACTTATAAAGTATTTGAAAATAACGCACAATGCACATTTAACTTTGACTAGTCAAATAAAAATTGTGATGCCAACATAAAGTCCCATAAAAAATTATAAAAAACGACATTCAATTTCAGAGTCAGATACCCACAATCCATTTCAAGAGCCCATAACTTTTTGGAACTTGATGCGTTTTCAGTGTTCGTTCCTATTTTTTTTATTTTTTTTTTAATTGCATTGGAACATTTTATCTCAATTTGAGAAATTCGATTTTGATTAAAATTTTTATTTCTTATTTGTATTTTATAAATTTTAGTTATTTAATTCAATTGTAGATACTTTATTAATTTTTTTTTTATAATTTATTCACTCGGGATTGTCAAATAATGAGCTAGAGAACTAGCTATATTAGCCCCTGTTTTATTGTCATGATTTAGAAGAAAAAAATAATATTTTGAATATTGACTTTTGGAGAATATATGGTTAAAAAATAAATAAAAATTTTCAATTTACGTGTAAAATATTTTATTGTATGAATATATGATTAATAATGAGTAAGTAAAAAAAAAAAGAGTTTTAAAATAATGACCGTCAAACTATAGCTTATTTAACATAAAGTTTTGTGTAAGTCAACGAACTCCGACGAGACTTGAGTGAAGCTTGAGTTAGAAGTGCGCTTCCAAAATAAATTAGGCTACCATTTACTTCTTCCCATTATAGGAGCATTTCAAAAGATCATGCTAGAAGAGAAAATAAAAGATGTCTAACTTTAATAGAATAACCTCTATTTATTTGATAAAGTTCATATATGGTATGGATTAAAATCTACTAAAATTTTGACGTCACAGTTAATAATTAATTTTAAAAGAAAATTGTACCCTATATCATTTTTTAAATTGTCACTTGCAAAAATGTCACATTTTAATAATCTTTACGGGAATGTCACTTTTGAACTTCTGTCTAAAAAATTTAAATACCTTGAGTGTTCTTAATTAAAGTTGGTTTGACTAAATGAAAAAATAGTTTAAAAAATGGATAATTAGTACATAACGTTTATATCTTTCAATATTATTGTGTAAAATGTCAATACCTTTCATTTTTAATTATTTTCACCCTTAATTACACATTTGATTGCTCAAATACTGCTTCCATCCATTTTTATTTTTTTTATTTTTTTTGTCAATTGACACGTGGTGGCCAAATGGTTAACATGCCTGATTAATGTTAGTTAAATTTTGTATTTCATTGAGCTACAAAAGCGTGGACCTAATTTGTCCAAAAAACTTTTTCTCGAGTTTAAAATTCGCCACATAATATTAGTTTGGAAACAAGTATGATTTTGATAGGGAAATTCTTGTAAAATGAACGCTTGATTATTCTATCAAATAAAATAATGACGTTCAAACATATTTCACTTTAGTTCCTCAATTTTCTAAATATAAAAATGTAGCGTATTGAACAAATAAATTTTATTTTATAAAATTTTCTGGGTGTTACAGTAACACCATCTACCACTCGACTTGTTCAGTCACTTGCCCTTCTTCTTA